ATACGTAAGCGTATTTATTCTAACAGATGAAGTTTAAGGAGTTACTTACCTAACAAATGGGACTGCAGCTGCAAATGGTTCTCTGAGTGGTACTGGAAGGTATAATAGTATTTTAAAACCATAAATAAGCTGAGATCTGATGACAGTTGAATCAGACTCACTCTAGTGAACTTTACTTAATATTTCAGTGCATACAGGATGAGTTGCAAAATTAAAATGCAACCCAAAGCAAGTGGATATGGTACCTGCTTGCACAGTGAAATTTCTCCAGAAATGTACCTAAGTTACTGGAAAAGATGTTCATGTTCTAAGCAAATCTAGTTCCAGAGTCACTGGGCTTGTTACTTTTGGTTATGCTAAGAAATCTTTGTGATCCCTGAATTTAAGATTGTCTTGATTGGTTAATTATTAAGAAATTTAGGCCTATCTTATTGTAGAATAAATACATTCTCCATTGTAGAGAAACTACTGACTAGCTAACTTCCAAAATAGTATTAGACTTTAAATCTGGACCATTCAGATCCAAAACAAAACAATGGCACATGTGAGGGAAGCTCCATTCCCTAGCAAAGTAACAAGACCCATTTTTTTTTGTGAAGAATAAGCTATTAGTTGCATTGTCATAGGACACCTGCTGGGATCTCAAATAAGGGATCTGAGCATCTGTTGACTACATTTATGGCTTGTAGGTGCACATTTCAAAGCTCTTTCGATCGTGTTGTGCTATTGAGTGAGTTGGGCAGGAGCAGAACATCTCTATTCCATCAGCTAGCCCCAGGCCCACGGTGGAAAAGTCTGTCTTGCACTTGTGGAGGTACTGCAGGTATTTCTGAATTGTGCATGGAACACTTTCAGAGACCAGCCTTGCTTTTCAGACTGCAGCTTGATCTCATTTATAGATATTAAGTTCTCCAGGAAATAATAGTGTATTTATTAGCATCACCTTCCTTCTGTATCATGTGCAGGCTCCTTATTTAAAGCCCCTTATGATGTGGCTGTCATCAGAGAAATTTTGATAGGACTGTTTTCCCTGGAAGAAGGCATTTGTGTCAGAATAAAGGCATTTTGAGAAAATAGGATAGTTTTGTCAAAATTAAAAAAAAATAATGCAGCCTCCTGGTATTTTGATAACAGGTGATAACAAGACTATTATGAACTGTAATCCACAAAACTTATAAACAGCTAAAGCTGTATAAATCATTTTTATCAAGATTAAATGTTTTTGTCAGCCTAATGGGGGGGAAAAAAAGAGAAATTTGGGGCATACTTAATACTTACATAAAAATGTAATGCAAGTAGGCGTAAGGATTAGTTCTATTATCCGTGGTAAGAAGTTCTTAAGACTGATTTTGGTCTTTTGGAAAAATGTCCACAAATTTTGGAGAAATATTCCTTAGCACTATTGGACCTGTCCTACAAATACTGACTGTGTTGTCACACACCATGTCGTCTGATTACAATCTATTATTTTATCTCCTCGATTGTCTCCTGTTACCTGTGGAAAGAAATATTCCTGGCATTTTACAATTGTGGTGAATATATAGGAGCATTGAGCAGAGACACTGTAGATAAAATAACCTCAGTTTACCAGTGAACAAAAGCAGCTGAAGGAGGAATGCATACCCTGATTACTATCATTTGCTTTGACGTTTATCCTATAGAAGAACATTGATTCAATCAAAAAGGATGTGGAGAAAGCTGGCTTTCTATTCATATGCAATGTGTTAGGGCAAATGTTCATAAATTGCCTTCCAGGTCTTTTAAGAAAGCAGTTATTACTTGTCACTTTTTGTCTCATATGGGCTAGACATCCCAATATAATATTTGGAACGGATTTTTCTGTGTTTCCCCTTCTTGCATGTGGAACTATATCAAGATGAATATGAGTCATGCTCTTCTCGTCACTACGAATAACAGGCTACTCAAATTAAGCGTGCTTGGCACTTGTCATTCTAGTCTGGAGCTGCAACCATGTTTTTCTCTGGAGGGAAAGGTGGGGCAAAGTAAAGTTAATTCACATTGCTTTGAAGTGGCCTGAGTCTTTCCTCATTTTCTGTCACATTATTATTAACTGTTTCTTAGCTGTTCCTGTTTAAAAAAAAAAAAAAGAGAGAGGAGACAGTAAGGAGACGTGCGTTTTTCCCCTTGTTTCACTCAAGCTCAGATTTTTCCTGATTGCACTGTCTTTCCCACTGTACTTGCTGTGCTGCATAGTCAGTATCTTTCCAACATAAAGCTGTTGGAATGGAGTGTGATATCCCCCAGGCTTTAAGCCTTTTATTCCATGTCTATATTGAAGAGTATGAGGTACTCCCCTACCACAGGCTTTGCATGTACAACTGGTTAAGCGTTCCCAGGCTGAAGGCCAGAAAATAAGTTGTGCAACCCTGATCCAGACTTCACTGAAGCTGCAACATAGCTGGATCCAAGTTTGGTTTTGCTTTTTTTACTTGGTTATTTTTATCCTCTTACTGTTTGCTGTTTAAAAGTGCTTCCACATGCCAACTTTTACAGTGCTATTACATTAAAATCCCTCTAAGACATCCTGTGACATTAAAGAAATCTACTGCAGTACATGTCAAAATTCAGACACTGGTGAGCAGTGACATGCGTGAAAGTGAATTCAGAGTGCAGCAAGAGCCTTTCAAAAGGGAGTGAAATATGGTCCAACATAGAGCACAGGAAGTGGGAAGTTCATTCATGTGTCCTCTTATACAATGTATATTTGATGATTCTCTATCAGTCCTATCTGGCTGAGTGAGAAGAGCTTGGAGCATATCTTTCAAGCAGTATTTAGCACTGTAATGTGATTCCAGCATGAGACATTTGCTTAGCTCTCTTAGTTTTTGTATCAGGTAGCTTTTGTAATACCGGATTAATGCAAGTATTCTGCTTTTGTCTAACTAATAACAGGACACATTCCTGTTCTGAAATGATGGATCGGCATGTATATTCAATTAAAAGGTCAAAATTGTGAAAGAATCACAATGTGATAATTAAGGAGCCTTGTAATCATAAAAGCTTAGGTTATACAGACATTTCATCTTTAAAATATCCTGTTATGAATGAAATATTTTGTTTTAAAATGGATTTAAATATTTGCTTAGTTTTTCAGTGATGTGGCTTCAAAGACTTGCACAACATATTTATATCTTCTTCAGTGTTACTGTTGATGATATGTTAAATTGGGTGGAAAGCTCAAAAAAATACAGCATTGCTTTTTTTTTTTTGAAAGGCTGAGGTGTTGTGTGTGAGCCCAAATATTATGGAGAAAGTGCTTTGAAGTGCTAGCTCTCTTTCAAAATGAATTGGTACCTGATACTTGTTGCTGTATTGCTTTAAAAACGCTAAACTTGAAAATGAATCATGGCTAGGTCTTCAGTAAACCAGAAGTCCAATCTTTTGTAATCATTTATTTTTATTTTCTCTTTTTTTTTAAATAACAGAATTCAATGTAAGTTGCAGATATGCAGGAGTTTTTCATGTTGAAAAAGATGGTCGCTACAGCCTGACACGAAGTGAAGCAGTTGAACTCTGCAAAGCTCTGAATAGTACCTTGCCAACGCTAGAGCAGATGAGAAGAGCTCATAAACTTGGATTTGAAACTTGCAGGTAATTAGAATTTTGTAGGAAATATATTATATAATGGTAGGTCCATCCACACATACTATAGCATAATAATTATAGTTGCTTTCATACAGTTATTAATTAGATGGTCATATCATTCCTTAAGTAAGTTACATTATTTAAGTGATAAGTAAGGAATCTTTCTGCGTATATGTTTGCTCTGGGAACTGTAATAAATAGATCCTTGACTGTCTGTTCTTTTTATCAATTATCCTGAAGAAGCCATATCACTTGCAGATAATGTTGAGATGATAGAGAAATGATAGAGAGTGTAATAAATTAATAAGGAAGAAGTTCAGATCTTACATACTGTATCACTAATTCATAGTGACAAGCAGGTGCAAAGTATGCATAATTTTTAATGACCTAATGTAGGGTTGAAGACTGCAGATTGTACCTGCAGGATGGGAAATTGCCTCTTGTCAATCAATATTAAAAAGCAGCAAATGGAACTGTGAGAAATGAACTGCTTACTTTGCAGTGAAAAACTGGCCAGAGTATTAAGGCATGCCTATAATATATGAATGGAGAAGTTTCAGAAGAGGCTCACAGAAATAATAAAGCTTACAAAATCCTTTTATCAAGTGACTTAGTCCCCCTTTGTAATTTATGACTTATGTGGAAACTAATATGGAGAATATGAACTCTTCATTGTAGCAAAATATAACAGGATCAATTGACAGGAGGTTGCAAATAGACAGTTGGGGACTCAAAAAAATAAGTAAGCACTAGTGCAATAAAATATGCAAGGATAGTGTAATAATAGGTGCAAGGATAATAATTATTGGTTGAAACAAGCTGTAAGTGTTATAGTAGATTCTTTTCCATACTAAAATTCTGTGGGGATTGAATATTTTTCTAAAGAATATACTCTAGTTCAAACAGGAGTCAATGTGGGACAGTTCTATGGTCCGTAAGTGGATCAGAGTAGATGAGAATGGGATATTGCTATGCAAGATGACATATTATGCAAGTCATCCTAAACATTTAGATGTAGAAGAGAGACTGCATTCAGAAGCTATAAGCATGATTTTTTTTAATCTAGTAAGAAGGATTCATATTGGTGAAATGCTTTTGAGGTGAATAAATTTCAGTAGATTTTCAACTGTAGTAACAACTAAAATAAAAAGCAAATGTGGGGAAAATGGAACTGGCCTCATAATTCGCTGAAGTAGAAAAGTTCAGTAGACACTTCTCAAAAATTGAGACTTTCATTCTTGAATTTGCATTTGATTGAGAGTAGTCCTAACATCAATAGTACTTGCAACTATTTCACATGATGGTGAGAGTAACTATCAATTTAGTCAGTGGTATTTTATTACTAAATGCATGAAAGTTCATTCTCATTTGCAAACTCATGAGAACTGATTAAATGCTTCTTTCAAATTAATAGCTGTATTAAGAGGCTTGTTTGGTTACTGTGGAAAGATATGTGCAATGCTTTGAAAATATTGTTTTAATGTGTATAGATGCCAAGCACTGTTATTGATGACAGCCTATGGCACATTCATTTTCAACCATGTGATTTCTTGCAAAGTGGAGAAAGAGGCTATCCATAAATCACCATGATTTCAACCATGATTTCTTGCACAGTGGAGAAAGAGGCTATCCATAAATCAGGGTACAATGAACAGAAATACCCTGGTGATGAGTGTTTTAGAAGAATCTTCCACGAGAAGTGCTAGCATTGTTTAAAATCCTGCCAAATAAAGATTAGAGGCAATTCTTCACAGTAAGGGAAAATTCCTCAATGACAGAGTATGCAAGTTCTTT